TTCGGCACGGCGATGGAGACCAACTACAACGTGCTCAAGGACTCGTACTCGACTGCCGTCTGCGACGTGCTACCGTGGTCCGGAGACTTTTGGCCAACGTATAAGGACGGTATCAACGCCGTCTGGAAGGATGGGGAGCCGTCACCCGCTGAGAAGTACGCCACGGCCTTCGGCCTCGACGTCGACGCGTTCATGAACGGCATCTCGCTTAGCACCGGAGTGCTGTCCGAGTCGTACACGGGAAGCTCCACCTGCTCCAGTGACTCGGACTGCGATGGCGGCAGCCTGTGTGGCTTGCGAGGTAAAGCAACCAGCGGCTACTGCATCCCGACGTGGTACGGCCTCTGTCACGCGTGGGCAGCCGCCGCATTGTTCGAGGCTGAGCCCAAGTGCGACGTCCAGAAGAACAACGTGACATTCCACTCCGTGGACATGAAGGCGCTTATCACCCAGCTCTACGACGGCGCCGCGATCGACGTGGTCTTCACCGGAGCTCGCTTCAACGGACCGGACAGTCCCGAGGAGCTGGACAAGTATGGACGCTACGAGGACGAAGCGCGTCGAGACGTCAACGCAGCCTTCTTCCACATCGCCGTGGCCAACATCCTCGGCAAACAGGGCCGATCGTTCATCGTTGACGTGAGCTCGGACTTGCAGGTGTGGAACCAGCCCATCCAGAAGTACGAGTTCTTGGAGACCGAGATCGTGGATAAAGCGAAGTTATCTCTCGAGTATTTTGGCTCGGCCAAGTACCCGTTCAATGACGCGGCGACGTACCTGGCCAAGTGCAAGACGCGTCTCACGTGGACGGCGGAATCGATTGAAGATGGCGCTCTCACTACAACTGGACGAATTGAAGCGTATACGGTGTACGAGGACTACGAGTACAGCCTCGAGCTGGACGAAAACTACACGATCATTGGTGGCGAGTGGCTTGACCATTCTAATGCGAATCACCCGGACTTCCTGTGGTTCCCAGCAGCAAAGCCGAGTGCGAACACGATCACAGATACGGGTATCGCTTACGCAGACGTGTTGGCACTTATTGAGGAGTCGCTAGAATGTGTGGATGTGACAGTGAGCCCTGACGTACCAGACACACCATCGACCAAGAAGACAGGAAAAGATTATACAAAGTCGCCATCCTACACTAAAACACCATCCAAGACCCCACCAACAAAGTCTCCACCCACAAAGGTACCGCCCACAAAAGCACCAACATACCCTCCCGAGACGTACGCACCCGAGACGACGGCTCCAGCCACGTACCCACCGGAGACGTACTCGCCTGAGACCACCGCGCCTTCCACCTACCCTCCCGAGACGTACGCACCCGAGACGACGGCTCCAGCCACGTACCCACCGGAGACGTACTCGCCTGAGACCACCGCGCCTTCCACCTACCC